AAGTTGTCTTATCAATCTTTACACTATCCTAGTTAGTAAAGGCAAATGTGCATCAAAGTCAACGTCCGAACACGGAGCAAGTGAGGAAATTGAACTCCCCCCTCTTGTAATTCCCTCTACATCCACCAGATGGCACACTCAGGGGCTTCCCCTCACGATGTGCACTTACTCCAACCACATGTGGCGCTGTTCAGCCGATAGCTGAAGATCGAACACAGAACTACCAAAGAGGAAGTGCCTCACACCTCAGCACATGGATCGTAAAACGCTGTGTGCCGGCGTAGCAAAGAACAATGGGCTCAAGCTAACTGCTAACCCACAACGTGGTCAAGCTATCAGCACCCCGCAAGCCCCGCTATTTCCCCAGTGGAATTACCAATGAGACCCCGTTAGCCGCTAGCAAGGCAGCCCACGTGGTCCGGGTTGGACTACTCACCAACACCTTAATATGCTACGGTTTTACAACCCGACGCCGGAGATGATCAGTCTCCAGTTCGGATTCTATACATATATATACACTGTTAAACAATCACATACACATAGTAAAACATAATTTGGAACATCCATACATCAATCAAGCACATGCACCCCGCAACTCAAACACTCACGCACCACGTACTAACACTCACTCACACTCACACCAGCATTCAGATGTATATACACTATCATTTACACTAAAGCGCATATCCGCCACCCACCCCCTTCTAGACAACCTATATACCTAATTCATAGGATTTCTAGAGGGTGGAAAATGTTAAGCAGATCTTACCAGTCGATGCTGGATTTCTCCTTTACTATAACCTCCACCAGTCGCCGCTGGATTATAACTTTACCAGTCGATGCTGGATTATCACTTTACCAGTCGATGCTGGATTATCACTTTACCAGTCGATGCTGGATTATCACTTTACCAGTCGATGCTGGATTATCCCGTATGCCAATCCCGTAGAGCAAGCTCCCCCCCCCCAATCTATTAAATCCTGCAATACCTAATTGTGAAGGACTTTATGCACAGAGAGGGGAAATGAAGAGAAGAGTCTTCCCTAAAGACGCCGTAATTATTGTGGGAAACCTAGTGGACAACATGCGCATCGTCACACCTCATGCGAACCCCCTAACCAATCCCATACGGGTCTACTTGTATGATTTTATCCTGCTGGTCTTTATGTCTCAGCAGACCAGTTCGCCGCCTGGATTTTTCTAACGCTCTAAGTGTGTACCTGAACGCACCAAACGCGCGTGTTTGGAATTTCTAAAAGCCGGCTCCCATTCGCATTCACTTTGCAAAAGTATGCCCCCACTGTTATTCAATAACAGCTTATTATATTCACCCAAGTCATTAATGTACTAGCCTTTAGTCTTTAGCATCTAAGGCCTTGCCTCATGGCCGACTGCCAGCACCACTCTAAATCTTCCTAAACCTACCTATCACAGAATTCATGAAAAAGGTGGTTTTACCTTGTTTGTACCCGTGGTACTTGCAGTCAAACCTCTCAGCAACGCCTTCCCCCAACGAGAGCCCCACGTTGGGCGCCAACTGTTAAGGTTTCGGAAGCTCTCGAGGGAGGACTCAATCCCTTGTTCTCGTCCCGGCCGGAAACGAGGACACGAATGAGTCAATCCGTTTAAATTCAAAAATCAAAAGTTATTTAATAACTGAACAACGTAATAGGGATTACAATTACAAAGTGAAATACTAAGCGAACAGTGGAATATTTCGCGAAATAGAGAATCCTCTGAGCAAGTCTGAAGTGACTTATCAACGCGGCTGCAGGAGAAGTTCTAACAGTCTTTTCCCCGCCATGGTCCTTTGAAAACTCTTGAGGTGTGTCTTCTTTGGTGCATTTGAATGTCATTGGCCTCTTCTCCAAAGGGTCACCTCCTCCATTGTCCCCTTCACGTCGAGGTGTGAAGCTGCAGCTGTAACCTGAAACCTCTCTGTCCTAGCTGTCCCTCAAATTCCAATGCACTCAATGCAGATACATTCGGCTTTATGCCCCAATGAGTGAATTTAACAAAGCATACATCGTTTAAGTCTTCATCTTATAACTAGTACACTTTCATTACAACAACCCATCATTAATGATCACCGTTCATCACATTTCATCATAAGATCTAAAACAGTTCATGTGGTTCAATTCTCAAGACATTTGCCTCAGTCGGCTGCCTCGCATTAAGTTGTTCATTTATTACCTGACAGGAGAAAAAACTCCCAAAAAACCCTCCTTGGGGATAAAATTGGGAGAAATCCATAAAGAACGGCAATTGGCATCCGTCCCCAGGTTTTAACATCACATTGTGACAGAATGTTAATGTGTACAGTGTTTATATGATTTAAATGACTATGAATTGTGTTTGATTGAAATTGCATTCACTTCATCTAACATGTTAATGTAATAACTAATATCTAATAACACACAAACTATAATTCTATCACTAAACATCATTACACATACTACAAATTCTATGACTAGGGGTGCACTTCTGGCTTAAATCCCTAACAGGAATTATGAACTGGCAGGACAGCATGCTCTGGCCACGCTCCTGGATCCTCGTTTCAAAACGTTGGGGTTTTGCAACCCCACAAGCCAGCAAAATGCCATAAAAAAAACTTACTGCTGAAACAGCCACTGTGATAAGACAACAATCACCTGATCCTGCACCCTCGCATGATGAAACACCATCAACTTCAGAGGATGCACCTTCAGCGTCTGATTCCTCAGGTAACAACCTACTGTCAATATATTGTTTACATGTATAATATACATCTTAATGCATTTCTATACCATTTCAGGACTGTAGGATCTTTTAGATACGCAAGTATTTAAGAAGAAGACGGTGAGAAGTGCATCAGCCAATGCCACTGTGGAAACCACCAGCTATTTGGCAGAGCCAAAATATTGGGTCAAACACAAACATGTGTACCCACATCTATTTGTGTTGTCACGTAATCTTTTGTGCATTCCTGCCTCATCCGGGCCCTGTGAGCGCGTTTTTTCTAAAGCTGGGGAAATAGTTTCTACAAAAAGAAACCGACTCAACCCCAATACTGTGGAGAAAATTGTGTTCCTCAATAAAAATCAATAATAATTTCATGCCCCATCCCATGTGTCCACAAGCACCTCAATATTATGTCATAACAAACCTGTCCAAAAGCACAATCACTGCCCCACTGACCTTTCCTCTGTAAATCATTTCCCACATTCCAGATTCAAACAATTCACCTAAGTCCCCATGACTGCCATTAAATGCACATGCAGTAGGAAGCACTTGCTGGTATTTTAAATTATATTGCTTACATATAACTCATATATATATATATATATATCTTCTATTAATTCTTCTGCTAGTATGATGACAAACATACAAGCACAAAGGTGCAGAAAGACACATAGATGCGTGTTCCACTTCTTCCCAATGTACAGAGAACTGAAATACACAAACATCTCAGCACTAATATACTTCCAAAACATTGGAAATCCGCTTTTGTCCTTCCCCTGTTAAAAGGGGGTGACCCATCTGATGTAAATAACTACAGGCCTATTTTGAAGTTATGCATTGTTGCAAAAATATTGGAAAAAATAATGAGCGAACAATTAAAAGATTTCTTAGATACTAATAGTATCCTAAATAATTTCCACTCTGGCTTTAGGAAGCAACACAGTGCAGTCACCGCCGCCCTGAAAGTTTTAAATTATATATTTGAAGCACTTGATCTTAAAAAAGTATGTGTTGCCCTTTTTTATCGATCTCTCTAAAGCTTTTGACACGGTTGATCACAAGATATTGATCAATATCTTGAAAAAAATCGGCATTTCTAACCAGGCATCCACCTGGTTTGCTGATTACCTGTCCAACAGGACTTAGTCAGTCCAGTTAGCCAATGCCACATCATCCTCACTTGAGATCACTAAAGGTGTGCCTCTGGGACCTATTTTATTTTCTATTTATATAAATGATCTTTGTGTAAATGTATCAAATGCTGCGTATTATTTTTATGCTGACGACACTGTTATTTATTGTTGTGCGTCCACGGTTGTACTTGCATTTGAGTTGTTGCAATCTGCTTTTAACGCCGTACAGGACCGCCTACAAAACCTCAAATTGGTTTTAAATGCCAACAAATCAAAAATCATGGTGTTCTCAAAAGCTCCTTACTCAAATGAAAATGTGTATCTTCTGTAAAAACTGCCCAAGGTAACCCAATAGAGATTGTCACCAATTATAAATACTTAGGTGTTCTTTGGAATCTGGAGCTCTCTTTTTTAAATTACATATTGAAAACCTGGTAAAAACTAAGACTAAGGCTTGGCTTCTTTTACAGAAATCGCTTGTGTTTCTCTTTGAGAGCGTGTAAACTGCTTGACTCGTCAACTTTTTTAGCGTTAGTGGACTATGGAGATGTGCTGTATATATGTGCTTCGTCCAAAAGCCTAGCAGCTCTGGACACTGTATATCACAGTGCACTGAGGTTTTTCACTGGAATTGGGGAAAAAAGCATTCAGTTTTGCCGCCCCATCAACATGGAACAATCTCCAGGCTGAACTGAAATTGTCTCAACTTGTATCTTTTAATGTTTTCCGACGTCTCCAAATGGACAAACAACAAAAATCTATTGAACGGTGCCTCTGCTTTTGACCATTTTTTCTTTGTATTTTAGTTTTTAACTTAATTTGTATTGTGGTTTTACTCATGTCATCTATATGTATTTTATGGCTGTTTAACGACGTGTGCTGCTGCCTTCTTGGCCAGGTCGCCCTTGAAAATGAGATCTCGATCTCAATGGGACTTTTACCTGGTTAAAAAAGGTTAAATTAAAAATAAAGGACACAATTCAAACCTGAAAAACAATAGTTTTATTCATATAGGAATCCATGTATTTATTAGATGATTTATTGGTTCAACTTTTCATAATCATGTTCAACCCACAGAGACTGGTCCAAAATATACTGGTAGGCTATTCCAAACATTTGCACTACAAGGTTTCAACAGCAGGTCATCATAGAGTTTGCGATGCATTGAATGAATGAACCTTTTTCCGATACAATTGGCTGGAAACTGGTTTGGAAAGCTTCACTTTGCCATCACTATCAGACGCAGTTTTTCAGAAACAAAAAGGGACATTAATAGTAAAAAATTCCAAACTCAAATCCAAAAAGGCAAAAATGTAGTCAAGGAACAGGAACTATGACGTGGACATGGGCTTCCGTACAATTAACAATGACACAACAAGTGACAAGCGACACACATGGTTTAAATACCCTAGGGAGGTGCAGGTGATTGGACACAGGTGGAAACAATCATGACAATCACAGGACAAGGCAGGAAGTGAAGTTACCCAGGAAGACAAGAGGCAGAAAACTACAAAATAAAACAGGACATGAACCCAAACCGTGACAATTACAATTATATTCTTTCCTTGTTAGTTTATTGTTTGACGCTGTGAAGTTTTGAACACTCCAAAACAATCCCGACCACCATTTTGGGGGGCCTCAGGGCTAAATAACTCGCTTTCATTTTGCTTCAAAGAAATTCACTTTATTGAATATTTTCTCCCGTGTTGATTCTCCTATCTGTTATCGGGCCTTCTGTGGGGCCCCGAAGGACAGAGAACACCTCCTCGTCCGCGGTGAGTCGATGGCAGTTGGGACCCCGACTTGAATCCTTATCTGAGAAGAAAAGAACAGCAACATGAATGTCTCTGAGTGTGTCACGTTGTCACGTGTGTCACGAGTTCTCTGTTGAAGAAGGACACGGCGAGCCTGTGACCTGCGAGTGTGATGTTGAGCTCGGCGGGGTTTGTGGAGGTTGCATTGGTCGGTGGTAGGTTCTTCCGGTGGTCGGTGGAAGGATCCTTTTTCAGTGGAGACATGGACCCGCCTCCTCCTCCTCATGCAAATTACATGTTAATGAGGATCTTCACGACCACGGGTTCGCCGTAAATCATTGTTTCTAACTTTATTGAGAATTGGGCACAACACAGCGACCTGCAAGTAGCGCAGCGTCTTAAATAAAGTGACGTATGTCTTAATGCGATGTTTTAGAAATGACAAACAAAAAGGGATTCTGTATTGGTCTGAAAGTCTGAAAAGGGTCATTTGGGCAATGTTTTGTTAACCGACCGCAGCCAGCGGAGAGAGAGCACCAGCGGACTGACAACAGCCCCCCCGCCCCGCACCCCGGCCAAACCGTTCGCCCGACCACTGGAAATGGGTTATTTAGCATGCGCGGTCGATACATATGTCCTTTTATTGTTTTAGCGTTTCCATGCCTCTTTGATTATCCCCATGTTTCCAGTATCCGATCGGCAGGTTGCAAGATCCGTCGCCACCGTCCTATGAAGTAAATGGTAAATGGCCTGTACTTGTATAGCACTTTTCTAGTCTTCTGACCACTCAAAGCGCTTTGACACTACATGACATCATTCACCCATTCACACCCATTCATACACTGATGACAGGAGAACCATACACAGTGATACCTGTCCATCAGTAACTACCATTCACACACTGTGGTTGTCCTTCTGGAAGGTTCTCCTCTCTTCATAGAACAACGCTGGAGCTCTGTCAGAGTGACTATCGAGTTCCTGGTCACCTCCCTGACTAAGGAACTTCTCCCCCGGCCAACTCTAGGAAGAGTCCAGGGGCCTCATTTATAAACGTTACGTACACACAAAAGAAGGCGTACGCCGCTCTCTACGCAATAATTGATATTTATAAAAAGCAAACTTGACGGAAAAATGTGCGGTCCTTCACGCAAGCTCGGACCCATGCGTATGCACAAAAACGGGTGAAATGAGAACTGTCGGCAAATGCAAGAAACACGCAAACGTGTGTGAAAGTGTGTAGAACCAGACTGTTGTGTAAAAGAAATGCCAATACTGCCTCTCATAAATAACACGAACACCCGTTCGATCGATCTGCAGCGTAAAACAAACAAAAATACTAATTAACACATTTTCAAAAAGATAAGTGAAAAATGTTCTGCAATAATATTGGCATGTTATGCAATTCATCCTCAAAACACAGCTGTTACTTGTCAGATGCAATCAAATGGACGGTAATAAAATGCCATGATGCCATCACAATGCGTAATGACGCAAAATGGCTGATCTTGCGCTCTTAGAAGATGTGGCAAATGGAAGGATTCACGCTGTAGTGCAGCGCACCATCGGCCTGTTTAAGGGCAGATGGCGCTGCCTCGACTGCACTAGAGGGAGGTTATTGTTTACTCCTGAGAGGTGTGCAAAATCGTGCTGCATGTGCGGTGCTACATAATGTGGCACAGCTTCCAAACGTGCCTCGACCCCCCTGACGCCGATGTTGGCCCAGACCCTGTCCCCAATCCCCAATCATTGCCGCCAGTCTCTCATCAAGAGGGGACAGCTCCGGTGTCCCTTTTCCCACCCGTGGCAGACACACTTTGGCGATGGCGCTAAACGTTTTTTTGCATCCACTTTGATGTCAGACCATTTTTTCTTTATTTCGGCCACGGCCCGAGGTTGTGAGGCTGCAGCGTTGCTCTGCAACCTTTTGCCACTCAAGTGCCTTTTTGGCATTAGTAATGTCCACACTGTGCCCTCCAAAAAGCATTTTACTTCTCCTTTCCACCGCGACAATGATAATTTCAACTTCACACGGAGTGAAGTTACGTTTCTTTGTTTTCCTCTCAGTGTTTGTCATGATTTCGCAATCGATGAATATTCATTTGTGGGCGTTACACAGACTATATATGGGCAACTATGGGCGTGACATGAAGCCGCAAAAGCTGCGCTGCATTTAGAAGTGATTTTGATTTATTAAGGGGAAACTGCGTAGGACGAGCATGCGCACGGTTTAATAAGTCTGAATATTTCTGTGCGTACACACGTCCTACGTTTCATCCATACGCCACTTCTGGCGCAAATCCTACGCAAAGGTTTTATAAATGGCCCCTGGTGGTTCCAAACTTCTTCCATTTCCAGATGATGGAGGGCACTGTGCTCACTGGGACTTTCAATGCCGCAGAAATCTTTCTGTACCCTAGGACTACAGATAATTTCTTTGGACTTCATGGTTTATGCTCTGATATGCACTGTCAACTGTGGTACCTTATATAGACAGGTGTGTGCCTTTCTCAATCATGTCCAATCAACTGAATTTAGCACAGGTGGACTCCAATCAAGTTGTAGAAACATCTCAAGGATGATCAGTGGAAACAGGATGCACCTGAGCTACATTTTGAGTGTTGTGGCAAAGGCTGTGAATATTTATGTACATGTTATGTTTTTGTTCTTTATTTTTAACAGATTTGCAAAAATTTGCAAAGAAACAGTTTTCACTTTGTCATTATAGGTTGTTGTGTGTAGAATGTTGAGGAAAATTATGAATTTAATCCATTTTGGAATAAGGCTGTAACATAAAAAAATGTGGAAAAAGTGAAGCGCTGTGAATACTTTCTGGATGCACTGTAGGTTGAAGCTAATTTATAAGGAATTCCGAGGCAGAGTGGCCACCCTCCAGTCGGGTTATCAGCAGTTCGATCCCTCGCTCCTCCAGTCCACGCGTTGAAGTGCCCTCGATTCAAATACTGAACCCAGAATCAACCCTACAGGCTGGGCCATTATGTCAAAGAATGTATTTACTTTGATCCTGATGGCATCTTGCATGGCAGCCTAGGAAGTTATTGAATAAATGCAGGTCCATTAAACATTCACCTAAGCAGCTCCTTCAGCTTTTCATCTTTCAGCTCTGTTTTCTGGCAGCAGCTTTTGGGCTCATTCTCAGTGCGCTCACCTTGTTCCAGCAGCAGCATGTGGCTGTTCTCTAATATTTCCATCATGAGCAGGTGTAAAGTCGTGACATTCCCGCTAACCTCTAAAGATGATGTCTTAGCTGTGTTAATACGACAGAAATCTGTCTGAAATCAGCGTGTTTTCAAATTTAGAAGACGGCGTGCTCTATGTCCTCTCCTGTAAGGCTTAGCTGACTGACAGTAGGATGAGGCAGAGCTTTAAGCTACGAAATAAATCCACCGTGACAACAATCTGGGAAAGTTTTCTTACAGGTTGAAGTTAGTTTTTGAAACCAGACTCTATGGTTTTACAGCTAACAACAAGTATCTATGACTAGTAGATTGTAGGTGAACCATGATCCCCCCCGTATGATTAGACAAAGAAAAATGATGTCATTATAATGTGTAAATGGAGTTTTAAGTTTTAGTTTGCTATTTGAAGGAATCATTACTTGTCTAACTTTCTAATATGAGATATAATCAGCTTATAAAACATAATTAAATCCAACAAAAACAGGATTAAAAAAAGAATTAAAAAATACATTTTTTAAATCATTTTAATTGTGTGGCTTTCATACAGATAAACACTTAAGATGACTACAAACATTTTAATTAGAATTTAAAATATATATTACAGCCGCTGATATTATAACAAAAAAAAGTGTGGAGCAGTTTGTTTGCCCGCTGCTAAGACAAAACTCTAAAAAAAGTGCAGATGTCCGTCCTCCACTTCTGGCTGCATGTACAGATGTGTGAAGGAGCCAGTTTGGACGTGCCTGTAGTGTTTGCGCCCATGTCCATGGAGCTACAACAATCCTGGCTCTGCATCACTATAAAGCCCAACAGCAACGACAGTACAGATGGCCAGAGGTATGTGTGTGTGTGTGTGTGTGTGTGTGTGTGTGTGTGTGTGTGTTATTGTCCCAAGAAAATCTCATTCCTGCAAAGAGGCTCTTTTCCATAGCTACGAAAGAAAGAAGTTAAATCTGCCTTACTTGTCGGCGCTGCGTACAGTGTGACGAGCTCTATTCCATTCATGGTGTTGTACTGTGTCCAGCTATGCCAGTGCAGTTGGAGTAGCAATGTAACACGAATGTGCCATTCTTCCATTTTCCTACCAGAGCATAAATATAACGTTTTCAAATTCTTGGAAATATTTGTTTTCATTGCGACCAATAGACATTGATGTTGGGTATTCAATCCATTTAGTCTTCAGTAAAATACACTGAGCAGCAAAAATATACTCTGATTGCAGTCATGTTGGGATAGCTGTTGGTCCGTATTATGTTTTACATTGCGTAACTAAAAAAGCTACAAATAGCTGTATATTTATCAAGATGTTTACGTATGGAAAAAGTTGAATTATGCCATTATTCTAGCTCATTGTGGCCCAATTAATATTAAAAACAACCTCTAAAGCACATCAACTACACATGCCCACTTCACAGAACACTGCTGTGCTCTTCTATTTCAGAGTCAAACATGTATTACTAGATTGACCTGATGAGAAGATTACAGGGCACTGATTCAGATATGATTCATAGAAATAACAATTGAAATTGATTGAAGTATCCAGCATCATACTAAAAATGAAACCTCAATTTGAACAGTTGCAAAGCACATTACAAGCTAGAGTTGCTAAATTTGTATTTGAGCTACAAAACGCTAAATAAAACATATTTATGCAAATGTTTCGGCCCGATGTTGCCAACTCTTTTTCAACGAAAGCGGCTGCCAGGACTATTCAACCAAATCAAAATATAGCGAGAAATTTACCGCGTCAGACACACTGGCAGCCTCCCTCCAAAGGCATGGTTCTTTGCTCTGAACAAACGTCATGTTTGAGCTCAGAGCCGGACCCGTGGACCATCTGCTGGATTTACCCGATCCTCGGGTTTCCTGTGGTGTCGGCCGTCGAGAGTTCTCCGCCTGGTGCCGTCCGCTGTGAAGCGGCCTCCAGCTGGAGAGGAAGCGGGATGAGTTGCTGGCTGGTAACCAAGGGCGGGAAGGTCTGTGCCAGTTCTCCCATCTTTACATCCCCGGTGTTCCTGCTATATCAGAGAAACACGTTTCGAGGACATAAACCATGTGACCCATGCTTAGTAGTTAATAGTTAACTCTCATCCCAGTCAGGTAGTACGAGTAGTAGTTTTTAGTGGAGGAACGACGACCAACAAAACCAGTCATTTACTACAAATGGCGCAAAACATTTGATCCAGACCAGATGGCGCCAAAGGATAGATCTCGTATGTCTGTAAATAGGGAAGCATCCATTTGTCTTTTTTTTATTTCAATAGCATTTCTGACACGATAGCTGATCTAGTACCAGTGCTCACTTTACCCCCAAATTCTAAATGCGTGTCACGCTGTCCTGCTGCAGTAAAGTGATGATCGGGATCATTCTGATGCGGGTCAATTTGAGGCTTCAAAATATGTTCGATAAAGAAGGAGACTGTTTACCATGGGCAAAAAAAACAAACGCCCCTCAGAAAAGAAAAAACCCTTTGAGGAAAAAAGGCCGTTAGTATGTTAGTATTAAGTCAGGTGTACGGCAGGACCACTGCAGACAGAACCACCATCTGCAGAAGATTTCAGGAAAAAATCAAAGTGGGTAATGTTGGTTTGTGATGGCAGTAATAGTAATTTGATTAATATTTAGAATAATAATGATGATAGTAGCAGCAGGAGTCAGCAGGGCCATGGCCGAAGGCAGGAACAGGGTCCAGATAGAACCATGATCCATGGAAACCTGTGAGGCGAGAAAACGCGCTCTGTGGAAGAAACAAAGTTAATGATGCGCATTAATGTTTACAGCAATAGTAATGGGATAATAATGGTGTTATAAGAAGCAGGGCCCGGCAGGACTCAGGACCAGGGTCCATACGGAACACTAACCAACATGAATAAATACATATATAAGCATTTAAATTCAACATTTTATGATGATACCTGCACCTCCTCAATCCCCTTCCTCCCATCTGTTACCCCCCCCCCTGGGCCAGTTACCCTGGCAATGGCAGAGGACTTCCCGTGCACGGGTCGTTCAGAAGGAGGTCCGGACCCCGAGAACGGCATCGCAACACTCACCCCTAATCAGGTCTATGCCCCCCTCGGGCTGTGGTACTGTGATACTGCAGACACACACACACACACACTCTTGTTTACAGCACAACGTGACACGCGTTAACAAGTATGCCTGAAAATGAGATGCCGGGGGACTGTGTCTTTTTGTTGCCGAGATTCAGTTGTTGTCCTGTTCAACCACTCCCCTGATTTGTGTTGCCAGCTGAAGCAAACAAACAACTTTTGCACTCGAGAGGAATCACCATACAGGTGCAGAGACACACACCGTAGACACACAGAGAGAAATGCAGTCGTACACAAACACTCATTATCAGGGAGAACTAATACAAACACGCACACTGAGAGAGAAGTATGCAGACTCCGACGGAGGCACACAAACACCTTTTAAGTTTAACAGAGCACACACAGACACACACGCAGGGAGAAGAATATAAACTTGTGCACAGTCAAAATAATAATAAGTCCGAAAAACAGTACTATTTCACACCGTGGTTGTACATTCTTACACACAGATCCACAACTGCCAGGAAACAATACACACACACACACACACACACACACACACACACACACAGCCTCTCTTTCTTGCTCTCGGCAGTGTTATGACTACACTCGTTTGTTTCCTTCCCTCCTTCGTCTCCTCTTCCTCTACCTCCTCTCTCTCTTTGGTGGGTGTGGCCTCTGCATTCATTTATTAATACGCTCTCTCTGAGGTAATTGGGGGAGGCCAAATCAAACGGGAGACTCACAGTGAAAACTGAACATTCGAAGGAGTTATGAGAATGATCTGCTGCATTAGAGTTCAGTGCGATTCTGAGCTACACACACACACACACACACACACACACACACACACACACACACACCTGCTGTCAGATGAGGAGGAGGACGAGGGAGAGATGAAAGGGAAACTTTTAACTTTTTTCCAATCGGCTCCGTGTCACGGCAGATGAAACGGCTCCTGCGGGGCGCCGATTCCTCCAAAGGCAAAGCGTGCTGTTTTGCCTTTGGAGGAATTTGCTCTTGTCCCCAATGTTTCACCGAGAAAACAACCCACTAATGTGCAAACCCACATTTCTTTTTGTCTCTCGCTGCATTTTGCTCTGTTAGCGAGACTCACGTCTGAGTGTCCTTGGGCAGGCTGGTAAACCTGCTTTTACTTGAGAATCCTGTAGATTTGGTTACTTCAGAAATGGAATTCAGATTGTGTATTTTAAAGTAAAAAAAATAATACTAAAAGGCGAGAAATGAGTGTTTGTTTGCTGCTGTGTCGGCACCCGCCAGTGCAGCTTCAAGGTGCCCGGCGGAGGTTTTCTCTTAAGCAGAGAAATGGCTCGGTTAGCGTTAGCCACCTGAACACGCCGTGTGTATGTGTGAGTATCTCTGAGGTGCAACAAAAGTGTGGAATATATTCCCTTCCTTAAAGGATATTAAATCCTACATGGTTTCCTTCGCCGTGTACTTGCATGCAGTCTTCCTCCAAAGGTCACAGTTCAACATACAGTATAACATCCACTCGTTTTACTTGAAATAAACACTGTAGTTACTAGAGAGGTTTACCCGTCAGCTCTATCTGCTCTAGCTGGTAATGGTGCATTTACTCTCTGCTGTCCTCTACCTCGCTCTGCACTGACAGTGACCCCCTGCAGAGTGCAGAGCTCATCCATCAGCTCCCGTCGACATCGGTCGAGTCCTTTTCTGCGAGAGCTAATGAGTTCTCCGTGAGGAAATGGAGGGGCCGGGGGGGGGTTAGGGGGCGCTAATTGGCTCTCCCATTATCTACGTGTTCTGTTTCCGCCGCATGGCGATGAGATGACATGACCGATATTAGAGAACTCTTACAATCGTGTTAGAAAAATCTCACTCGACCCCAGTTGAAAAATCCCTAAACAGAACTTTTATCAAAATACTTGCAGGTAAGAGCAGAGTAGAAATATGTACAGAGACGTGCGTCCATCTGCTGCTCTCATCACGGTCTCGGCCTCCAAAGTTGAGATGACACACACACACATAAGTTATGCGTCAAGGTTGAAGGTCTGCATCTTAGTCTCCGAAATGACGACATATGCACACAAGACATTTATCAAGGCTTCGCCAAGGTCTGCGTATCAGTTGAGATCACACACAGTTATACATCAAGGTTTCTCTGCTGGGAGGTCACACACACGTTACGCCGTTCTCAGGCAATATGACTACTATGACTAAGACAAAACATTGTTTAAGTTTTCCAAACAAGTGAGTGCTGCACACCAGAAGCAGAAACATTCCTGTTTCTGTGGATAAATGGGAATGTTGAAGTTACACTTACAGAGACAATTGAAGGGGAACAGATGAGGGGGAAGCAGATGTAATCAGTGGTATTCATCCGTGGGCTGAAGAGGGCAAACGCTGTTCGGATTTTTGTATTCCAGCTGAAGCCTGATTGGCCCGATTGTTCCTCTTCTCAGGACAAAGGTGATCAGTAAAATCAAATGTTGCACTCGCCGTTTCACACACAACCTCTACACATTCAGCACTTCATTACATATCATTGATGTTCTTTTCCTGCCCAAGTAGCCAGTATCTAGAAACGGATGCACTGTTCGTATTATTACATTTATTACAGTTGAATAACCCAATAATCTCATTATGACGCCACAGTTACAGATTTTCATTTGTTCTTTGTAAACACCTCATATTCCCATAACACTGTAACATTAAAAGTAGATGCATGAATACACGCATAACGGGATGCAGTGTAACGGACAATGCATATATACAAATCAATGTAATTAACTCACAAGCACCAGTCACATTTATTCACTACAAAGCATGAGAAATATAGCCATCAAAAATGCGGACCTGAAATACTCGGGAGCACCGGCCATTCAAATATTATTTACATCAGAGGGAACAATATTAACTACATTAAAAAAACAACACAAGGGACAAATAAAAATACGACTGCGGATGTAAAAAAACGCAAGTTCTTCCTTAAATACTAAGATGCTAGCTAGCTTTCTGTTTGACAGAAGTTACTCTTGCGCCACGTTTATGTCAAACTAAAGAACTCATTGGTTGATGACAATGACAATGAACAACACCGTCCCTGTGCACTTTAATGTGTAAAGTCTCCCCAAAGGACCTCAGGCCTTTCTTACATGGAGACACGGGCGGAATCTGATTGGATAAAAGCTCTCTTTAGAACAAGCTAGCAAACAGAGAAAGACGGGAGCTGTGCAATGAGAAAATAGGCTAATTGAAAAAAGAATTATGATACATATTGATAATTATTATTGATAAAAAACTAACTATGAGAATTATAAGAAAGCTGTTGTTATGATATGTGGTGGCGGACCCAAATGCAGGCAGACCAGGAAGTACAGGGGGAACTTATTTATTGCCAGATGAACAGCTATGGAGACGGTCAAGGAATGGCAGGGAAATCCAGGCGGAGGGAACGGCAGACAGACTGGAGAACCGGGAGGATGGATGACTGCAAGGACGCAAAGAAAGGATCATAGGAAATGAAAAAAAAAACAATTAATCTACATCTCTTAAATAACTCAACAGAGCAGCCAAGAGCAGTCACTACCAGGTTGGTTGAAACAACAATCTGGCAACGAGTGGATGAAGATCTGAGGTAGATATCCTGCAGGGGGTTTAATAGATTGAAGGCGGCTTGGTTGCCTGAGTCGGGGAGGTGAAATCGGGGAGTCTGGATGAGCTCAGTTTGGAGCCCCTACCACACAAAACAGGCAGGAGGCCCGGCCCCGCCTCGCTGTGACCGCCATAACTTTGTGAGGCTGTTTAGGACAGCAGAGAAGGGTCAGCTGGCCCTGAGCGGGCCGTGTTTGGGAGAGTGGCTCGGAAAGCGGTGCTGGGAAAAGGCATGGGTAGCTTCAGCTGTGTGGAAGTAATCATTTTTTCCACATATAAACAGCCACAGAAGACGCCACAGAGAGCCTGAATATAGTGTGATGATACAAATAAGGACACAATTTTTATGTAAATAGAAAAATATGTGTTGATTACTGTTAGCGTATCTCCCATTGTAACATCAAAGTGATGTCTCATATTAATAAAACCCTCAAGTCGTCATCTACATGGAACGTGGCAATAAACTCCCCTCTGTTATTCATCCCTTTTCTTAATATCCGAGAAAAATATCAGTGCTCCACGTTTTGTTACATTAACAGGACGACATGGAAATACGCTGCAACATTTTATACAATCTCAGTATCGTCTTTTCAATAAATCAAACCAGATGAGCCTCGAGAGGTTGTCCAGTGTGTGGGCCGGCTCCGTACAGAACCGGGGCTGCATATTCAGCCTTTTTAATGAATCTCAATGGGCATTCCAGATTTCAGTTCAATTTCCTCAATACAATACAATACAATTCCTCAAGTACTCTCCAACCTTGGAGCATTCTGTTTCATTGTTTTGCAAATCAAAATAGATTCAATGTGGTTCTGACATTGAATAGCAGGAAAAAGGTGAAAGCGAAAGTCCACAAATTGATCCTGTCCGATATGAAATGTAGAATCCTAGTTTGCGTAAGACTGACTTAAGCTGTTACTGTTGCAATGGACTTGGTTTCATAAGTCCCATAAAGGAGGCGAAAGCTTTGGTTCCTTTGTTTGCGTGTGGGCGCACTGCAGCGTGCGTTTAATGGCGTTACCACCAGCCGCCTTCGTCCCACGCCACGCTGCTTCTCCACATGTCAGCTGACTAGTTGGCTTAAACTGTTGCAGCTCTTTGGACGGCCATGGAAAGGCAGATGGTGATGGGCTGAAGGAACCTTATTGCTCAGGCCTTGCCTCTGGCCAGATGCTGTCTCCGACTGCTGCAGGACCTTCAATGTTCCTACACTCTAAAAAATTCACCGTGAATTAACAGTATTTTATTGGCAGCAAGGACGCCAGGAATTTACCGTTATTTTACGGCATAATACCGTAAATTGTTTTTACACTATGTTACCGTAAATTTTACTGTGAATTAACAGCAATTTACTGGCAGTCGACACTAGTAACTTACTGTTTTATTTACAGTGCCCTACTGTAATTTACGGTATGTTGTCGTATATTGGATTACAGTTTGTTACCATACGATTACTGTTTTTGTGTTATAAATACCAGAATGTTACCGTACTTATAACCGCATTTAATTCCCAACAAATTAAAGAAAGACAACCAAACTCATTTCGGTCATAGTGGTTAGAGTTTATTAGATGCCTTTAAGAAAAAAATGTTAGGCATTTGTAACCAAAAACAAAACATAAAATGTATACAATAATAAAAAAATGAATCATAAAATCATTAGGAACAAGGTACACTAACTGCAACAATTCGCTTTGCAACACTTTCACTTGACCGCAGCAAACGGCTGGCGTCCTTAATCCAGTGCCTCTGTAAAACAAACCAAAATAAAATATTTAGAAACACTGTCATTGGTAAAATATTAAAATTACAAAGTTGAGGAAGACAACAAGATGTAAGGAAGGAGAATGTTAATCATGCTAGGCAAATAACACTTACCAACATTACTTGGAGAGATGAGGCAATGAGAAACTCCTCCGATGTTGAACTGCACTGACAGGTGTTCTGGATGGACTGAGATTACGCGTCTGATGTCACGTTCAGGAGCAGTCGGTCACAATTAACACTCAAACTTTTAGGCAATGAACACTTTGAATAATACAAATATTTATAATCTTTACATTCCGGCCACTGAAACAACAGCGAAGGCGGTGCATGGGATAGGGAGGGTGTGCCGTGCAGCGCGAGGTCGGCGGTTTGAATTCTGGCTGCTCCCTGTGTCAAGTTGAAGTGTCCCTGAGCAAGACACCTAACCCCCAATTAGCCTACTCCACATAAAATTCTGTCAAACCATGGGCGTTTTGGATAAAAGTGACAGCTGCATGTATAGTAATGTCCTGTAAGTGAAAGTCATAATCGTATCTCATGAGATACTATCTCATTATGATGACTTACAGAACCTGTTTTTCAGTGGCTGACATGGGCTTCCATACATTAACCTACAAAAAGCTGTAGATGAATTGTGATTCACTGCACATGTATGTGTATTTCCATCACTTCATAAAATATATGTAACATGCAGTTGAATTACGGTAGTCTGCTATTATTGTAAATTGACAGCTTTAATGTTAGTTATTGTGACATACTGATACCGTTAGAAATGCACCGTAAATTTACAGCAATTTGTTACAGTGTATATCACTATAGCGAGGCTCGTCAGAGTTTCTTCTTCAACCGGTGGGACTTTTCCAGCATTATTGAGAACTTTTTGTCCCACCTATGAAACTTACTTCGCAGTTGTTCGCCCTTATGTTAATTGAGATGACTGCGTGAATCTGGTCGAACAAAACACAAACATTTCTAAATGTGCCTGTGATTCGTCGTGAATTTGTAGAGAGGAACCGTAAAGTTTTGGCTGTCATGTTGCGTGGTTTACTCGCTGGAGTTTGCCTGTGTGCGTCTACTTTTCTGTGTGGCCACACACGGAGCTGTCCTACGGCTCACCTCGCGCACGCCAAATTATTCACGAGGCAGTTACGCTTGGTTATGCGTCCATTAAGCTCCATCTGCAGCCTGCTGGGGCCAAAATGGAGCAGAGAGAAAGAGTGAGGAAGCCTTGGGATGAGAGGAAAGATGGAGGGAGGACCCGAAAGATAGAAGATGGAGGGAGAGAGACAGAGACCATGGAGATGAGGAATGGAAGGCCGAGGACATGGTTGGAGTAATAGATGATAGGAGGAGCAAACGGGGAGGAGGGAAGGGGCAAGAAAAGGTGAGAGCGGATAAAGTGGACGGTAAAAGACAGATACGTGAATATATACACGTTGTTCCTATTTAAATATAAAGATAATAACCTTTGTACATTTCCACAAAGAAATGTTGCTTTACCCCTTTCTTTACCTATTGGGCAGTGCCTAAGCAGCGTTTGTCGTGTGTATTATTTAACATTACTAACCAGGCTGACGGTGTGTAAAGAAAGAGGGTTGTCGAATTATTCCAAGGGACATATGTGACAGAGACCCCTGGACATTTTGTAAGGGCTGCATCTCTATTAATATTATAAATTAATTTAGGGATCCTTTTGTGTGTGTTACTGGGAACGGACAAGCAAAAGAAAAATAAGCAGAAGGTTCATTTAACTCCTTATTTTGCAGCAACGACTACATTACAGGAAATGTAGCACAATAAGCCAGCAACGGCAGTGTTGTGTTATTTTAATATTCTGTTCCTAAAAATCAACTTAAAGGAACAGCTCATCCCAACAACAAAACATTGTGTTTCTTTTAACCTGTGATGCTTTTTCTTTTACTATTCCAAAGAGTTTCACTGCAAGTTGTCTACTTTTGGAGATATCTCATTAAACTGACACTTTTGCGGATTTCCTTCAGCGTGTTTATGGAAAGAGACATTGCTGTCGAGTTCTCGAAATGTATTTTCACGAGGCGAGTACCGCCTCGTCCCATCACATTGCAGACGTGTCGACGCATTGTTAAAACACTACTGCAGGTAAGAGGGAAAACATGTATTTACTATTCTATTCTCTATTTTAATAACTCTGGTAAAGAGGCAGAAAATGAAAACATTTCAGATTTCAAACAACTCTGGATGTGTATTGCAACGAGTATATAATCCGTCACGTTTCCCAGACCTTCCTAAATGGATTATCTACTTGGCTGCTTAATACTATTTCATCTTCATTGTGTCACCAAGAGTCCTGTCCCCGCACATCACTCACACTGGGATTCACTTAGCACGGCGGTAATTAAGCCCGGGCTGCTTCTCCCTGAAATGCACACAACCCATTTGACGGTCTGCTAGTGGCAGGGAGGGAGTGTGGGTGTGTGTCATGACATGTTGACAGAGAGAAAAAGTTTTGTCAGCCTCTCACAGTATTATCTAGTTTATGAAATATGCACAGCCCAGTATTTTGTTCCTTATTTTATGTCTTTTCAGACACTGGTTACTGTCGTGCGAGCAAAACAAGGACTAGACTGGAGACTTTGCTCAAAGCAATGTGACAATTTACTAATACCAGTTTCTTTGCAACAAGAGTATTCTGTCCTGCAATTTAACGTGCACAGACCTATTTCAGGCAGTTTAACATGAAAGAAGGCGCTTAATACAAAATGCGCTTGAATTATATAGTCTCTAAGAGCATTTTTGATTGGTTATTAAGATGGAGGCGGCTCCTGCTTAGAACCCTCGGAGAGCCCCATTGAAGCACAGGGGTGTCCATCCCTCTAGGCGTCAACACGCCTCCTGTTGTTCATGAGTTCTTCATATCAGGATGTTTGCAAGATGTGTGCAAGATGATAATAATAATAATAAAAAAATGTTTTGCATATGAGTGCTAGGCGTAGTTTTAGGTATGGACATGTTATTCTTAAAACGGGGAACAGGTGGTTCCTGTTGAACTGCATTTGAACCAGATAGTGGGTGCATCTTTTTGCAACATGTTCGTGTGCTGGTGTTGTGACTTGAAATACATGTTGTTGGTGCAATCCGGCCTTTAAGCGGCCTTCACCCATTATTACTATGCATTTATAGTGTAATTTCTTTCTAGCGTAAGCGTGCGTTCATGTTTATATTTTAGTACTCAACATTACGCTAAAGGAAACACATACACAACGCTGTAATAAAATGGAATCTGGTAACAAACGCCTCATTAGCGACACATAATGAACTATTTTTACACCTGCCCTCTGCTCTCCGTCCAGGTTTCACTGACTGTTTGTCTAAATAGTTTATTTTTTGAATTTGAAATGAGATACGAAAAAGGAATCTATTGAAACATTACTATTTTAAGCTTGGATTTGGTCAATTTCCTTAGAGGAGCATCATTCACATATTCAAAGACCTTTGGAAAGTGGAAAAGCTGACGGCGATAGCTCTAACAGTCCCTAGCTTCTGCGAAATAAACATGTTTCGGCTATTTTTTTATTATCCGGTTGAATAACAACATCACTATAACACAGAGATCCACACTGTCGCTCTCGCCTCTGGTTTTTACTTGCACGCTTAATTTATTGTCAACTTGATTAATATTTGTCCCACAGGACTAAATTAGCGGGAATGTTATTTTGGTTGTTAAATATCTACACACGCGGCGACACGGTATTGGCAGAGAATGGTCCGGAGCTCCCAGGGTCCCTTAACCACCCTAGTTTAGAGGGGCCAATCAGCGAAGAACAACCGCGCTTCTCTTTGAAGTGAAACCAAATTATTGCTGCCAACGCCTGCGTGTGAATGTGTGTGCACACACCTCGCAAAACTCCCCCTGGTGCACATGACAGAAAGAGACAGGGAGAAAGGCCAAGCTGCTCACCCCGCTTCCATCCCCCCCCCCCCCCCCCAAAAACAAGCACCTCCTCCCACACTAATTTTTTTGCCACCTGAAAGCTCTGACACAGAAAAAAATCTTTGGGGCTCTCTGTGTGTGTGTGTGTGAGTGAGACATTTGTGGCATATTTCATGTTGCTGACAATCCGAGGAGTAATCATCCCGCATCCGAGAGTCTGACAAACCTGCACTTTCCAACTTTCCATGTGTTTGGTTTGGTCGATCGCCATGCGACACAAGTCGCGTGGCGTGCAAGCTCGCGACTCGTCTGCTTTCATTCAGGCGTGTCATCGCGCTCTTTGAAGCCCCCCCGTCGCACTGACGGACGTCTGCTTGTTCCTCGTCGACGAGAGGCCTGAAATCGCTCATCGCCAAATTTGCTCCGGAACCGAGCAAGAACCAACTTCAAACCGGAATATTGTGTACTCATATACTAACGCTTCACACCGGTAAAAATGTTAGACTCTACAGACTACAATCTTCATGTATCCGTTTGACAGGACTCCAACAAATTAGAAAAGATGTTATGCAAACTACTACAGAGGATTTGCAAACGCCAGTGCTTAGGTCCTAACGTTTTTCATTGAAGCTAGAAGC